AAAGAGATGGATAAGGGGGGGAAGTGTGCTGGGGTCGAGGTGAGGCCGGTTGTGGGGGAAAAGGCACACCTTGAAGATGTTGTCATACTATCTGAACAAACCACAAAAGGGGCAAGTGTATGTGACAGTGTTATTGTACTGCTGTTTGTTTCTTCATCTCAATGGCAACACAGGAGCATAACCCAATATTTGTATCAATAGGTTGTGGATAAAGTGACACAAATTTTACAACGGGTTGGTGCCAACGAAGTGATGGACAGGAGATTTGAGGAATTGCCATTTCTACGAGATGTAAGACATGCTCTTGCGCTCTCCTGTAATCTACTTTATATATGCTAATACCTTTATTGTCCAGTGTGTACCACAAGCCTCCGGTGTAGCACCTGATGAATTGAAAGAAGCCGTATGCTTTCATGTCAGACACCTCGTCCCGCAGATGTATGTTAAAATATGGGTACTGTCAATGGCAAACAATGATCTCGCTTTCATCTGATTATTGCATTCATGTCAATCATTGTTCACAGCTGTGTCAGTACACTAGATAGGCAGCATCTCTTTGATATTACAAGAGAAGAACTGGAGCAAGTGATGCTTCTGGAGACATGTCTCAGTGACAGAGTAAGTTTTTTATGCGATTGCACAGGCGTACCTTGTTCACTAATGTCGCTAAATTTAATAACTCAATGTTGAATGTTTGAATTTGTTCCATTCTGTGAAGGTTGTGACCCAGTACCTTCACTTACTCCAGAAAGAATATAAGCAATTTGTTTTCTTCAATCCTATGTTTTGGGTACGTAACCAAAATTATTGTATGTGCTGTTGTGCCTTGCAAAATGTGGACCTAATACTTGCTTCTGAATCACTTCGTTGTAGCTGAAATGCGTGTTAGACTATCCATGCATATCTCCCGCAACCAAAAAAACATTCGTTGAACAGAGCAATGACGACTCCATGACAAATCCTGAAAAGGTAAACATTAGCTATCATTCTCGCCTTTACATTCTTATACAATATGAGTTGCACCTGCATGTTAGTGGAATTGGATTCAGCCTAACATGCCTTAGCTTTTAACACATTCAACATTGCTTGTTGTATGCGATTGCAGATTTTTTTTCCCAATCGTTTATTCAAATCATTGGTTGCTCATGATTGCACATGTCAAGGACAAACAAGTGTACATTGTTGATTCTATGGACAATTACAAAACCGTTTACCAAGGTTTGATGCAATCTGTGGTGAGTAAACTTCAAAAGCGTACCTTAGCTTCATTTGCGTACAAGGTAACATATTTCTAACATTCCATACTTGCTGTATTTATTTCCTTTTTTAGGAATGGATTTTGATGGAGATTTTCCATGAAAATCACCCCTGGACCTTTATTGTTGTAAAACACAAACTAAAACAGACAGACGCGGCGAGTTGCGGGGTTTTCACTTTGAAGTTTGCGCAATGTTGGGCAAAGGGGTGTCGGCCACAATTTGTAAGTGCACAAATGGACAACCCCTTGTGGCAACATCACCTCTATTGCGTCTGACATTGTTTCTGAATGTATGTACAGCTTGATGTTGTCATTGCTAGAAAATTTATAGCATGGGAGATCGCTTTGGGGAAACTTGCGGACCCGTTCGCTTATGCTGCTTTCCTAATAGAAAATAAACAGGCACATGAGGCTGTAACCAGAGGAGATTTGCAAGATGATGCTACCAAGGATGTGGGGCATCAGGAAACAGGGAACGGTACATTTTGTCTCGCCTTTACTGTAATTGGTTCGTTGCATATGAAGGCAATATTAAATTTTAAATTCTTTACATGAGTGTAGCAAATTGTTGGTACGAAATTAATCATTGTTTAGACGAAATCATAAAAAGTGTATGTACCTCTGTGCCGATGCATCTCCTCGTGACCATCGCGGTCACAAATTGCTTTTCTACTCCAGCTATGATATTATTGCAGGGCTGCTGCTCACAAATCTGGTTAATATATTCTCGAGCCCACAACTTTGCTTTACACTTTCCAATTCCGCTTGTTTGATTTCGCATTATGACATTAAAATTGGATCTCACATGCAAAATCCGTGTGCTGAAATGCTGTATGCCTTCAATTTTTCCCCAGTCGAAGGTACAAGGGTGAAAACAAGCCCGCCAGAACTTGCGTCCGCCAATGATTCAAACAAGAAGCTTCTTATTCTTGATTTGAATGGAGTGCTTCTGGGCAGTCCATTTACAAGGATGACCAGAAATCGGGACTTTAACTTCAGACCACGTTGCTTTGAATTTTTGCAGGTCTGTCTGTCATATTTTGAGGTGGCTGTTTGGTCATCAAAGCTAAGGTATCCGCCAACCTATATTTGAATTGCTTCGTTAACTACAACATCCACAAGTTTTTCTGTTATGTTCTTAAATGAACACAGCTGTGCTTTCTCCAGCCACAACATTCAACCAGTGTTGGACAGGCTATCCGAAAAAATGAATGAACGTTTGGAGCAGAGACTGTTATTTGTTTGGGTGAGATGTCATTCACAAATTACTTCGATTGTGTGTAGTGAGTCCGTGTGTAAGACTTCTCATAAATGAAAGTCGGGAACAATGAATATTGCGCAGGATCAGTCGCGGTGCACTATGACACAAACCAGCCTTGGGGAAAATCCAGACAAAAAGGTGATGTTTAAGGACCTTCAACATGTGTGGGGAGAATATAAGTCGTACAACAGCTCTAACACGATATTAGTCGATGATTCTCCGTATAAATCCTTCCTTAATTCTGTAAGTGCACCATACCCGCTGATCGTTATGTTGTATATGTTCCAGTATGCACAAACAACATGATCAGGGCTAACTGTTTCCGTATTACTCATTCTTCAGCCGTACAATGCCATCTTCCCCACCTCTTATACATGTTACACTGTAGAAGACAATTATTTGGGTAAGACGCGGTTCGCGATGCTTTCAAGTGTGGCTTTTGCTAGGTTTACACAGGGTGAAAGATTGGCCTGACACAACTTATTTGCAGATCCTGAAGGAGATTTTGTACGACACCTGAAGAAATTGGCCAGTGCCGATAATGTACAAGATTTCATTAAGCGAAACCGTTTTGGACAATCACCCGTAACAGAAGGCAGTGTGGAGTGGAACTTTTATGTTAATGTTGTCAGCAAGCTTGGACTGCAGAACACAGCAAAGCGAGTGACGCGCAAACGGGAAGCCCCAAACAGATATTATCCGGAGGTACCCATTGCATTCATGTTCAGGAATATGTTCACAATAGTTCAACACCTCGTTATGATAGCTAAAATTGCGTCTGCTCATATGCACAGACCAAGAAAAAAAGGAAAATTTGAAAGCATGAGGAAGATCATTGTTCACTGTACGGAAGCTTCTCCAAACCTTTGGAAGGCGAGTACCTCTCTTCTGATGGGACACACAACCAAAACTTTTGTGCTTTAGTGAGACATTGGGCCTGTCAAATTCATATATGTTGGTACTACTTTCTTCCCTTACTTGTGTTTTTGTTTGCAAAGGCCTGTCGCTGAGTTTTTTTATACAAGTTCTAAAAATGTCGAAGTTGGGAATGACGTATGTTGTCTTTGAGGTTCCGGAATGCACATGAGGAAAAATTATCAGATAATGCCTGTAATTGCTGTCAAATTATCAGATAATATTAATAAATTATATAATTATAATTATATAAAATATTAGTTATGGGTGAATAACGGAACAAGAGAATTACGGATGAACTTTGGGTGAAGAGAGGAAAAATATTAGTTATTGATGAATTATGGGTGAAGAACGGAAGAAAGCCCAGTTTTCTGATTTGTCAACTTGCTGGAAATCCCACAAAGTACATGACACAGGGCCACCGACAAAGCTTTGCAGTGCATTTAGAAATTTATTTTAGGATATAGTGCGAATAATGAATTTTTGTATCACACAAAATTTAGTTGAAGGCGTTGTGTTATAAAAGTCAACCTCTTTACGCCTTTCTTCCTTCATACGGGCACCAGTACCCAAGTTCCTCAAATACAAATTCATTTATCGAAAACAAAATAAATTGACCCGTAGTTCATAAAACAGTAGCTCTTTAAGGCTTTCTTCCGTTAAACTGACACACTCCCCAACGTGCATCAAATACAAATGTATTTAAATCGGATGAAATAAAGTTAAAGCCGTTGTTGAATAAAGATCAGCTCTTTATGGCTTGCGACCGTGTTACACTCATAAAGTATCCTGCTGCCTTAAACACATGTATTTACCGGATGAAATGTACTTACACCCGTTGTCGAATAAAACACCAGCTCTTTAATTGTAACATCTGTTATAAGTACAAGGTAACCATTCTCCGTTAAAAAAATATTCATTTATCAGCTTAATGTAAATTAAACCCGTTTTCCAATAAAACACCGGCTCTTTATGAATTTCCTCCACTATGACAACAGAGTACCAATATCCCATACTTACAAAGTCACTTATCGGATAAAATTTAATTGAACACGGTTTGCAATAAAACACCAGCTATGTATGGCTAATTTATTTGTTCGATCAAATCGGATCGATATTATACTAGAGTGCCATTTACCCGTTAGCATAGAATGCAAACCAACAAACTAACCTATTGCAGGTTTAAACTCCGTTTTAAGACAGATTGTTTCGGATACGTCAACACACCTAATTCTTAAACTCTCGCGAAACATCAATTTAAACGCGTTTATTATTAATTACCACAAATCAAATTTTTCAATCTTTTTTCATTTATTTCTAATCAGTTCATACCATGGATCACTGTACGCTAGTCATAACCAACCACAAATCTTCTCTTAACTCCCGACCACATGAAGATTGTGGTACTCGTTATCCCCATGGCAACGTCTCCCCACACCACCGCCGGCGAGTTTGCTCGGTTGAACCAATATCCCAAATGAAACTCAGATACACACCAACCGCTTGCCTTACTATGGCAGCTTTTGGACTCTCTGTCCCCGTCTTCTACATTATCGGTTACGACGACGTGCATCCGAGTATGACAGCCCCTATTACATGCCCCTTTCCACAGAATGCCGCTACTTTGTCTCTCTATCTTGCCACCTTCATCCAGCCTCAACTTTATTCATCTCCAACCTCCTGTGGATGTTCGCTTTCCGCATAATTTGATGACGGACAACGTTGGCATCATCCAGAACCAAAGACAGTGCTACTTTGCGCCGCTCCTGCTCCGAATTGTACTGCGCCAATAAATTTGTTACTATCTCCATCGTTCGCAACCAAAGCAAGCAAACACACTTACTGTTACAGCACACGACGCCATTCCTTTTTGCTTACCTGATTCCATTTCCAGCTTCCAATTCCACTTGATAACATATCCATGTACTTCAGCATGAATAACCCACAATCCCACCTGCATTACAAACCATAACCACAAATTTAGACACAACCGTTGCTGAACTATGGAAAAACTTCCAAAACTATGCAGGTGCAACTTACGCATTCCGTTGCTGTGGACATGTGGCTGCAGCTTTTATTTTGTACAGCCAAAGGCATGACGAATACTGCCCCTCCAAACCATAAGTCAGCGCTTCTTCCAACCTTTCAATCTGACGGCCATACAAGAAAAACATATGCAATTTTAAGTTTACTGCCACCAATTGTAAAGGTGATGGTCGTGTTCATGAAATGTTTGACAAACCAACTTAGTTTACCACTGTCTCCACGGAGCTGCGCCTATTCATATCCGTTTGCTCGTCTCCTCTCATTGAATCATAAATTAATACTTCTTCGCTTCCCATGTCCACCACACACATATACCAATGCTCATCGTGCCACATTGGCACGAATATCTGAAGCATAGCAGCGGTTAGTTAGTCATCATCATGGCATCTGTATCTATTCCATTATGCTACATAACAGGGCAGCTGCTCGTACCTTCTCACACTTTTTTATATTACCTCCTACTTTACATTCCTGTAGATATGTACAGTACAGCTCGTCTGCTGATTTGTTGAACTCCAAAATCTCTTGCTACAACACGACAGTCAAATATGACATTTTAATATGAATGTACGTACTCACACCCCCCAACTTTGGCCGAACACTTGTACCTGAAACCAAGTTGACATGAACCACCATCGCATTAATTGATCGTCAGGACGCCTTTGCTGCCTTGCTGTTTTCATCGTACAATAGCAATTGATTATCTGCACCAAACTCAACTCACATCACTTCGTCCTCCGTGAAACAGTACACACAACACCACCCAATTTCAATCCCTCGATTTACTCACATCACATGCCATGGGTTTTTCAGGAAGCAAGGACCCCATTGCATCCCGACTTGCTGTCTGCCCCTTAATTGACACCAGTACTTCCCTGTCATTACAACAGCGTACATTAATCTTTTCCCTATGTGTATTACAGTTTCATAATCTACAAACTTGATATCATCATTTTCAATCACTCGAGTTAAAACGGCCAGAGTAGGTTCGCTCTTCCTCACTAATACAACCAGCAATCACGGTTTCAATGACCCAATCGGTCCTTACGGTCATTCAGTTAGCCTAAGGCGGTTATGTACTCACCATAAGGGTCATTCAGTTATCATTGTACTTCCATTCTCAAACTTCTGGAATACTCACCTTTTATTCTATATGCAACCATGTTACCTACCCTTGCTTTTTATATAAGGTGGCATGATTGACAGCACACAAATTGTAAGTTTTATGCTCACTTGTAAACCAATTTTAACTGCTTCGAAGATTTTCGTTCCTATGCCCTCTCCCCTATGGGGATAATCATACTACATATTTAGTCAACCTTATAATTGCAAATACTTTTCTGTCCCCTTTCCCATTGCAATTTCATATAAAGGATAAAACAAAATAGAACTGTTGATTTAACAAATCCATGTTCCAGTACATACCCTTGCGACAGCTGAGTGTCAAACAAGAACTTCAGTATTTTTGCTCGTCCCTCACTCAATTTTTCCCCGATAGATGCCAGCCTTGTTTCCTGCTACCACAAAAATATGTCATCTTTCATTGTCTATAATTTCCCATACTTCAGTAATTCTGGAACGTTGGAATACTCACCTTTGCCAATAAAGCAACGATCTTCGTTTGACACTTGTTCATCGCACTGCTATCCATCTGTACATAAAACTACAATTTATACTTTACTTTTCCAATGCTACAAATACCTTGGCACAAACCGATGCATACCTTTATTCTTTTACCTTGCCTTCTGTTTTGTTTGTCTTCCCCCACAGGCTTCTCCGTATTGTCCATCCTTAGTCTCTTTCTACTCCTCCACTTTGTAATTTTCGATGCACTCTTTTCACCCATTACAGTACTATTCGTAGTGACTCTATCATTTTCACTCCTGCTTCTGGACCTAACATCTGGCGTTGTAGGACTAAATTTATGTAACTCACTCCCTCTTTTAACATTACCGCGCCAATCGTCCTTCTGCCCACCCTCCACACCAACTGCCCGGTTTGTTTTGCACACCCTTCCACTTTCATACATGCTCCTCAGCCTTTCAAAACGACATTCAATCATTGCTTCCATTCTACCAATACTATCCTTCACATCTTTATTACCGCATTCAATTTCAATCAATCTTCTCTACAGCTTATGTTATTGTAAAACTGCACATTGCCCTGTCACTACAAGCCTTCAGTTTTGTACTACTAGTAACGTCACAAAATGCAGATTGCAATTTCAACAACAATTCACACGAAAGGATTTTACATTACCTGTTCCCCCTCAAATATGTGATTCCTCCTCAATATTCGCACGCTTTCATTAATCTCGTACCTTCCCCAAAATCTTAGCCTCGGCCCTCTCGGCTGGAACTTGCGAAACTCGTCCTCACCCTCGATATAGAATCGTTCCAGATAGTAAATCTGCACGGACAAAAACGCCTACCATCATTTACGGGTCTTTTCTATCAAAGTTTAATTTCATTATTCCAGCAATTCCTATCTCTAATACAAAATGGTGTGTCTTTCTTATACCATCAAGAAAAGTGTACATCCCGCTATTCCATTGCCGTCTCTATCACGGATGCTCTTCACCAAATTGTCAAGTATGAATTTCGACCAGTTCAAATTTTCCATATTCTCCTCTGTAGCCACTACACCCACCAGAGCCCGGCTCACTGTGTCATCCAAACTTGGTGCTAACAACCTACCAACAACAAACAGTACGAACTTCACTTTGAATTCTAAGCCTTCGTTATGCAAACTACATATACTGTGCCTCAATTCCTCCACTACAATTTCACCGCTATTTATTCTGATATTCAATTCTCTTTCCAACTCTGTATCCATCTCTTGCCTTTGCTTTTCGCTTTCAATATCTTTCCCACGGCTGCTCAAGCCAAGTACACATTCCACATCCTCGCTTGTCACCTGTAGACAGTACCCATGAACGTTCAGTGTCCTCCGATCTACATCAAAGTTATCCACCAGCCACTTCAACATCTCTTCGTCAACCTCTACTCCCTTCACATTCAAAATTGACCCGAATCCAAACTCTCTGACAGCCTGCCGCTGCTCATCCGAGATCCAATCCACCATATTCTTCACGGAATGAGTTGAGTGGCTTACCATTGTTTCCGCCGTCCGACGAATGGCCTTCCTTTCACTGCTGCAACTTTTATAATTCGGAGGTGTTCCACTCTCATGCATCAGCGATACTACCATTGTTTCCGCCGTCCGACGAATGGCCTTCCTTTCACTGCTGCAACTTTTAAAATTCGAAGGTGCTCCACTCTCATGCATCGGCGATACTACATTTTCGCTTTCTCCTTCACTGTCCCACTGCATATCCGAAGCATCTATTTCCGCCGCCAGCTCCATAACAAATCCCTATCTTCTGCTATTCCTCCTGCTCCGGTTTTGGCGCTTCTTCCTTTCTAATACGCCTACACTCTTTAGCTTGTCCAGTAAGCTTCGCGCCTTTTTTCCCTGCCGTACTTTCGCGTACAAACCCTCACTTTCCCGGTTGCTTAATTTCGGCCCCTCCACATTTCACATGCGCGGCTGGAGTCCCTTCAACGCCCAATACATCTTCCGGTTGCACGTCACAAAAGCCCTTTCCACGTGCCCGCCCAACACGCTTCCCCTACCGTTTGTGACCCAAAATGCTTGCATGTCTTTTCCCTTAACTTTCCACACCTCTGTTTTGACTTGTAAACATACCGCAGCAACATCCTTTGTTTTATTACAACTGGTTGTTTCAGTAGATGAAAATTAACATTTATGTGACAACTGTAACCAATTTGTTCATGCTTCTTGTTGGCTTTTCTCATCATTTTGTGCAACTAATAACAGAATTTAGTATTGCAAATTGGGGTAGCAGTTCTTTACTAGACAGGTGCACGAAAATGGTCAAACCTTATCGTGTTTGTATTATTACTCAATTAGTGTGTTAGGATCAAACTTTATCGAGTTTTGTATTATTAATGGATCAATTAGTTTATGACATGAAAATGACCGTTTTGTGCTGACCAGCTTCATCTTCTAGAATGTTATTATGTTATGGTAGTATCATGCTGTGTCAGGACAGCCTATTTAACCATTAATATAATTGCGTGAATGAACTATAAACAAAGATGCAAAAAATAAAAATGACACTATAAACTTTAGTTTCCTTTTTTTTTTTGGAAGATGCAAGTCATGACTAATAGCGTCATGTAAATTCTAATTTTTTATAAGTCATTATCTCTATTCAAGTCATCGTTTTAATCTTCTAGGATGTCACATGAAAGTTGATGCTGAAATACAATATAGGAACTTCTGTTACTTGATATGTGCTCTGTGAATTCTCCAAATCCATTGCTGCTTTGTCCCTCTTTCTAGTTTCCTCCGCCCCTTGCTTCTAATTTATACTCTTAAGTACCTTCCCTCTCCTCACTTTTTCTCTACTTCCAGCCGATTTCCACAAACCAAACAACAAAAAATGACAGAAGGGCCAATCGATTATACATTAACTTGCTTAAGGGCTTAAACGATATATAATATGGTTTAGGGGCCAAAAGTGTATAAAAGTTTTTTAGGGGCTGCTTGGACAATTTACTCTTAATCAATTCCAAATTTTGCAGCTCCAAAATTGACAATCCATTTGGCAAATTATGCCAAAACAATGTTCACGCCACGGGGAATATAAAATACAACACCAATCAATTGAAAACCTTGATAAACAGATTGAGCTGGTAATCCAACCCGACCACAAACTCAGTTTACAATCCCAAACCCAACTATTTTTTCCAAATATTAGACCAAAACTAACAAATTTGCATAGAAATTTCTACACTGTTGTGGGTTCTGTGATACCAACATTATCAAATAATCACTAAACAAATAATTTTCATACCTTTCCTTGAGTCTCATAAATAGATTGTATAGATGGTAGTTGTCACTAATGTCATTGGTCATTTAATATGGTTGATTAAATTTCAAAATTTTGGCATTATTTACACTAAGGGCAATGAACTAATCGCTTCAACCAACTACTAGAGTTAGGCTAGTGGCAAGGAGAAAGCTCTTAAAGTATTTTTCACTATTAAATTTAG